ATTATGTTATGTTTATTTTTGCATAGTTAACGAATTTAGGATACCTGAAATTTTTGGTTCAAATGTAAACCGAACCGTTCGGAGCTTTAGAATCGATAATCAATAAATAAAAACTTTTGTGTTATTATAAAGATCATATTGAAGATTAAAAATAATATTTAACAATTAATAAAACTTAAGTTGATAATTTTTTTTAATTCAATGGAATGGTAAAGGATTATATTTTTAATGTGTTTAATTTCGACAAGAGTTTAGTACTACTACTGCGTATCACGTTATATTTCACGCATTTTGATTTAAATTTCGTGTAACAAACAACGGAAAACTTTTTTTTTAACTCCTTCAAAATGTCAAATAGTTTTTCACCCTTTGAAAATATCACAACACTAATTAACAATCTTGTTGATTCCAATAAAGATGCTTTACCTCTAAAACATATTGGTAAACTTGTAAATGATCTAACCAATTTATTAAAAGAATCAGACTTTTATGATGTAGAAATTAAAGTTGGAGAGGGCCAGAATGATATCAAAACTTTTAAAGCTCATTCTGGCATCTTAAAAGCAAGGTCTTCATACTTTAAAACAGCTCTGTCAACTAATTGGGTTAAAAGAACAGAAGATGGTATTATCTTATTTGAGAAAGATAACTTTTCTCCAAAAGTTTTTGAAGTTCTTTTAATGTAAGATCAATTAATTTAATTAATTTGAATGGTTGATAATATTTTTTGAACAAGATATTTAAACATTTATTATCATTATATTTTTTTATTATTTAAAAGATATATTTATAATGGAATTATTAATACAGACAATTTGGATTTTTATGAAGTTGTTGAACTTCTTGTAGCATGCGATGAACTAGATTTTAATGAATTACTTGATGATTTACAAAATTACTTGATTACTAATGAAAAAAAATGGATTCAACAGCATTTAAACCATTTTTATCAAATTTTATCAAAACATCAATCATTTAGCATCCTTAAAGATTACTTTGAAAATTTGATTAATTACAATCCAGGATTATTCTTAAAATCAAATGATTTTTATGATATTGAAAAACCAACGTTCATATCTTTACTAAAAAATGACTACTTAGAATTAAAGGAAATTTTTACTTGGGATTGTATCATTGAATGGGGAATTGGGCAAATTAAAAACTCAGAAAAGGAAAAAATTATTTCGATGTGTAGTGAAGATGATTGCAAGGAGTTAAAAAATATGCTGGAAGATATTATTCCTTTGATTCGATTCCAGTATATCTCCAATGAAGAATTTTCTGATAAAATTAAACCTTATCAAAAACTTTTTCCTGAGTTCTTCTGGAATAATCTTTTACATTATTATTTGATTTCTGCTAATGTACAACAACCTTTAAATTTATTACCATCAAGAAATCCTAAAATTGAATCATTGACAATTAATCAAAATCTTACTTTGCTTTTTGCAAGTTGGATTGATAGAAAAACTCCACCATATACTTCATTCAAGGAAGTCAAATATATATTCAAACTTCTATATCGTAGTAGCAGGGATGGTTTAAATGCTGCTACATTTCATCAACAATGTAATAATATTAACAAAACTCTTGTAGTTTGCAGAATACAAAATTCAGAGCAAATAATTGGTGGTTATAATCCACTGAATTGGGATGGTAATGTATGGAAAAGTACAACTGAAAGTTTTATTTTTAATGTAAGTAATAGAAATAATATCAATACTGCTCAATTTAGTTATGTTGTCAATATATATAGAGCAGTTGGTTGTAATCCTCTTAATTTACCAATTTTTGGTAGTAACTCTGATCTTTTTTTTAACAATAATGGTAGTGTTGATAGTAAACCATGTGATTATAGTAATGTTGATATAGTAAATTATAATATAGTTGGTGAATTGGAAGTTTTTCAAATAATTGATAAAAAATAAATAAATGTTAGATTATTTTTCATTAGTTATAATTTAATTACAATAAACATAAGACTAAATTTAATTAATTAAATATGTTAATGATAAGTTATCAATTACTATAAAGTGTGAACAGACAAAAATGCGATAAAAATTTTCATTAGACGTTCAACAAACTTAATGAACTTCTGTTCTTTGCATAACTTTATTGGTCTTCACTTGAATGAGCAGGGGAGAATAAATACCACATTAACATTCAAATAAATAGATACCTGTAAAATCATTATCTTTTTAATAAACTTTTAAAAAATAAAACCATTGTTTTATTTGGTAGAAAAAGCAACAGGCTATGTTTATTTTATTAAATATACAAAATTGGGTAATAGCATTTCTAGTGGAAGTGATATTGTAAAAACTTTGCAGGCACATATTTCCAAATTAATTAAATTAATTCCAGGATGTGGCCAAGAAGGAATTATAGAAGCCTATGGATTACCAAAAAATATATACAATTTCTGATATTAAAAACTTCTTGAGGGCAACAATATGAATCGACCAAATGCAGTTACCATTGACCAAACAACTGCTCAATTAGAATGGAAAATAAATGCACTTTTAGAAACCAGTCCTTTGATTCAATATTTAATAGCCATTGATGTAAGATTCAACTTAAGGAGATAGATTATTCATTAAACAGAGATTGGATCAATTCACTAGTTTTGATATTGCATTATTATTAAATGATGATGACCCGAAAAATTATCATATATGTAAACAATTAATGCCTTATTAATTCACTTTAAAAAGTAAATAAAAGTGTAATGAAAGTGTGATAAAAGATTTGGTTTAAATGTAAATTGAAAAGTTGAAGAAATAAAATTGAAACTGATGGTATTCCTTCTCTCTAGCAAATCAAATCATGGATATATTAGATTTAATCAACATCTCAAAAAATGAGCTGAAAATACCAACATTGATTTTGCGCTAATAATGTATGCTTTTTATAAAATTAAATCTTTTATTTTATTATTATATAGTTTTTTTTCTTTTCAATTAAAACAAATTTAATCAATAATACATTTTTTTATAAATGAAAAGTCTTGGGTAATTTCTTTTTAATTAAATATATTAAAGAATTTCTTATTATTTGTAAAATTTCATATTAATTTTCTCTCGATTACATTTTTATAAAGTAAAAAAAAAAGTTCACTCTTTATATTAGTACTTGAGTAAAATTTGTCATTTTCCTTTATTACGTTTTACTTTTTTGGAAAACAAAAAGATAAAAAAATAAATGACTGCGTATGTATATAGAAATATATGAAACAATATTAATCCACAATAGTTTTCTTTTATACATAACATACAATTATTTGAACTGGCTGATAATATAACAAAAAGGATTTAAATTAAAAATAACATATGATTTTAATATCTTAATTTTGTTCCCATTCAAATGGGACAAACAAGCATACTTGGAAACTTAGCTCACGATAATTCCATTTAACAAGGTTCTTTTGACGGTAGTTCTATCGGTCAAACAGTATAATTCTAAGGAATGTCAGTAATACTGTTGACCAGAACACTTTATTGGTCGAATCAACAATATAAATCAATTATTATAACATAGTTAATGAACCAAACGATTTATCAAGTTATTACATTTTTACCTAGATCCGACCGAATATATACAAAATTTGATTTACCATTTTTCATTTTTAATAATCACACACATGAAATTTTGGACAATAAAAATGGACACTTTGTGAAAATGACGTTTTGAGAAAATTAAAAAACTTTAATATCTCAAAATTTTATTAAACAAAGCGGGTATAGTTTCCATGCCAAAAATGTTCACATGTAACAGTGATATTTAACTCAAAATTGCCCTCTTTACAGACCACATCTTGTATAAATATATAAAGTTTTTAAAAAAATTTGAAATGTTGGGATATTTTTTGCCAAAAAAAAGTTTAAAGTTTTAGTTCTTTAATCATTAATTTAATAAAAATTGGCAGAGAAATCATACATATTCACAAGAACCTAAGCTACAAAAACAATGTTTTTTTGTTTATCTAAAATTTTGCATAATTATTAAAAAACTCGTCCGAGTACTTTTGGAGAATAGCGTACTAACATATTACTTATTTTTGATAATATTTAGAGTAAAAAAAACAAAGGACGACGATAGTTATAAGTTAAAGAAGATGGAAACGTAAATATTTTTTAAAAATGTGATATCTAGTAAATTAACTTTATTGTTTATTTAAAAATATTACAATTAACATTATCACAAAATACACAATGATTAGTATTATTCTAAAAACGATCATTATTGATAGTTTCCATGTGCTTTTTTAATAATAAAAATAAAATAAAATTATTTAAAAGAATTCATTATTTTTATAATTAATTTGCAAAACATTGCATTATTATTATAAAAATTTTTCCATAATGATAAATGTACCATTTACTCATTCTGTTTATTTAAATATTGCAGTCTATTATCCAATAACATTAATTATTAAAAGGTGATAAATTTTTAAGTTTAATTTAAAAAAAATTTTAACAATGAGGGTAACGCAAAATATCTTACACTTTTTTAATATAAAAAAAGCCCAAAAAAATGAAAATAAAAAAATAAAAAAATTCTTAAAAATTAAAAAATGGAAAATTATTCTAACAATATTAATAATGATAATGACAATAATTACGATGGTTGGGCTGATGATCGAAGATTTTTGTCGTGTTCGAATGGGCAAACAAGTATTGCAAATTCATATTCGGTTCCTAACCAAAACTTTGTCGTCAATAATCCCATTAATTGGAATCCTGGAACTAATAATTATACTCATCAAAATTTAGTTTATAATAATTATATTCATCAAAACTCTAGTGACAGTAATTTTGCTCGTCGAGATTTAACAATTCATCAAAATGGTTTTATCGACCAAAACAATGTAATTCAAACAGATGTTTTCAGTGATAACGTTCTCATCAACCAGAACAATGCTATTAGCCCAAGTGGCATAATCAACAATAATAATGATTATATCATTGACCAAAATCTAACTATTGCTACGAGCATTAATCATCCGTGTTTTGATAATAATTTCATTGGTCAAAATATGCATCAAAATAATCATCAAGATCACCAACTACTTGTTCACATAAAATTTCAACTCCAAAATATTCAAAATGCCGTAAATCAAATAAATCAAATTTTAAATAACAACAATAATAAGTGAAATAATACAGTAATTTTTTATAAATTAATTTAAATAACACATTAATTAGTTATTATTTTATTATTGATCTTTTTTGCCATTTTTTATTTTTTCTCTTATTATATTTTACTTTTGGTATTTATATTTTTAATTTTTTTAAATTTTAGTTTTGGTATTTATATTTTTAATTTTTTAAATTTTATTATGAATCAAAAAAGTAAAGATTTATGCAATTTTTTTTTGATAATACATAATAGTAATGGTTAATATATACATGTAGATTAATGTTAGTTTCCAAAACCATAGAGTATCGAGACTGTTTTGACTTTTGATTTAGTTTTACATATAACTTTTAATTTTAGTTTCGACTTTTGCCCCTTCAAAATAGGTTTGGCGACCAACACTAATGTATACATTGAACGCATTTATTTACATATTCGATGTTACATTTAACTTCATTAACGTGTAACATTAAATATGAATAACCAAGCTGTTTTTATTTAAGTTTAAAATATATCGATAATTTGTTTCTGCCCTCACATAAATTTTTATGTAATGGAACAAAATCATATAATGCCAAAAATGTAGATCTTTAAATGCTAATTTCTATTTTTACAATATTCTAGGCCTGAAAAATAACGTAATAGAAAGTTTTATTTGGATTATTTAACAAAAAAAGTTATAAGGTTTTGAAATTAGGTAACTTTATAATTTGAAATTCCGACAACTGCTTAAACTGCAATTTACCAAATATTTCACGATTTACCGGATTTTAATATTAATATTAATATTAAAAGCACAAAATTTTCGGAAAATAGTAATAGCGCAGCACATGATAATCTGCACCATGCACTTTTCATGCAAATGTGGTGGTTCTAGTTCTTGTAGAAATTAATATTATTATACGCGTATGCCCGAAAAATCCCTCGCGTAATTCTGTCTATAATAAAAAAACATACTGGCTTTACAAAACGTACACACATCTATACTGTCCAGGGCTGGAAATAGTCCTTTAAAAATACGGATTTTTCTTTAATATTAAAAATTTTGACTTACGGAAAAAAAAAGAGTTGTCGGATATTTTCTTTTTTTTTTCATAAAATTTTTAAAGTAAAATGTTGTAACAAATGAAAAAAATTTCTTTCGGAAAATTAACATTTAATTCCGTTTTTTGCAGATCCTGATCTACACGCTTAAATTCATGTATAAAATGACGATGAAAAATCGAAAACGAAAAAAATTTTTTTTTAATCAACCACTAATAAATATAATAAATAAATAAACTCATAACCAATATATAAAAAACCAATTCGTAACCAATATATAAAAAAAACTAAAATTATTCTAACAATATTAATAAGAATAATGATTCTAACAATAATAACTTTATTTCTAATTATAATTACGTCGACCAAACCGCTAGCAACCACTGCAATAATTCGATTTATCAAAACCATGGGGACAATAACTTTGGTCACAAAAACAACCAGAACTCTGTCGAAACCAATTATATTAACCAAAACCTTTGCGATGGTAATTTTGTTCATCAAAATAATATTGCCAAACAAACATCAAGTATTATCAGTAATAATGGTTTCGTTGACCAAAGCTTAACTAGAATAAAAATAATATCATTGACCAGAATCAAACCATTGCTACAAATATTAATCATCTGGGCAATAATTTCGTTGGACATCATCAAAATTCTATTGCCGCGAATAATTCATCGATCAAGCCAACAATAATCAACTACTATTACTTATTCTACAAATTGTAAATCAATTGCTATATAACAATAACATCAACTGATTTATTATTTTATATTATTTGACATTTTATTTTTCTATATATTACTTTTTTATATTTTATATAATCAACAATAAACAAAAAATTTTAAAATTCATTACTCTATTATTCGAGAAGAATATATGGGCATGGATAATAGAAAGGAACAAATCTACTAAAATCGTGATTTTGAGTTAATAACACCCCCGTATGCAATTCGCCACAAAGATGAGTTTTGGCTTGAAAACCACACGTCACTTAATAAAATTTTGTATTTTCTTAAAGCTTTTTTAAAAAAATAGTAAATTGGACATGGACAATAGAAAAGAGGATAACTACAAACATCGCGATTTTGGGTTATTAACATTTCTATATGCAATTCGCTACAATGATTAATTTTATCTTAGAAACAATCTCCACTAATAATAATAATAATTTACATAAAATATTTTTCATTCAAAGAATAATACAATACAATTTTTTGTGTAAATGACACCCAAAATTTATCGTTATAAAGACGCAGATTTTTGGATTTCTCAAGACATAATTTTGCAGTTTTCCATCTTTCTATTGTCCATGTCCCCATATAATCTAATGATATATGATGCACGCATTATAATTAAATTTAGACGGTAATACAATATTATTTGAAATACTGGACCAAATTGAATTGAATGACGATAAGTTTTTTTAAAATCCAACATGTGGATCAAATGATATTTCAACTTTTTTAACTTTTGAGTATAAAGAGTCTTCTTGATAGGTTAGCTTTTATCTAATAAAATTTTATTCAAGCTTTGACAATCAATGGTTTGATTAAACAGTAATTAAATTTAAAATATGACACGTGAATTTATTTATTATTATACATCTTGGAACCTGCTCCGGATTTTAATATTAATATTAAGAAAGTATAATTCATAATGATAAAAATTTAAAAAATATCAAATCATTATTCTTATAATTAATTTGCAGCAAAAAAAAATATTATTATTACTCACTTCCATGATGATAAATGTAAAATACGAAACCATTAAATAACAAATAGATCGTTTTTTAAGCATTCTATTTATTTATTAAATAATTATTATTGTTATAATAATCAATAATCTACCAAAAGGTGATAATTTTTTAAAAAAAAAATTTTTTTTCGACAATGATAATGATAATAATCACAATGGTTGAAGATTTTTGTCATATAAACTTTACTTAGATTGGATTGTTTATTATTATTGACAGTAAATATATATCATTCATATAGGCAAATATTTCGTAATAATTTTATCTTTCTTTAGCAAAAACGAAAAAAAAGGCAGAAGCAAATTTTGATTATGTCTATGATATAGCGAAGAATGATGCATAAATCTTATGGCAACCGATCAGGATGAATGTTTTTCTTCCTCTTTAAAATCAATCATTTTTGGATTTTTTGTGAGAGCTTAATATTAATATTAACATACAAAATTCGACTGCGCCATATATAGAAATTTGTCTTCATTTGTTGGCTATAAAAGGATCATAATTTCTTCCAGAAAAAGGGCGGCGACGAGATTCAGACATAAAAATGTAATTTATTTTATTTGTTTGCGACATTATTCTTTTGTAAAAAAATTTCTTGGAGAATCTCACGATGCTTTTTTTTTTTTACTTTATCTAAAGTCCAATCTTTATTTTTTCCTTAAAAAGAAAATTATTTTTGTAATTTTAAATTCCATATTAACCCGAATATCATTTCCATATTTGTTAGACCGTGGGCAATCCGGATCGAATTTTAGTACGTAATCTTGGCACGCTGGACCAAAATTAGATAAAAAACAGGTTTTAAACAAGTTTGCATTATCGCGAGAATCGCACTCTTTAAAAGTTTATATGAATAAATACTATTACTGATCAATAAATTCAAAATTAAAATATTAAAATATTAAAAAAAAAAAAATGTATCATCAAAATTATTTTGACAATATCGATAATAATAACCAAAATTACAATAATCAAAATCTTGTTCCTCATTCAAGTGCTAATAATCAATATTCGAGCCCAAATCAAAACTCCAGAGACAACAATTTTATTCATTTAAACACTGGTGACTATAATTTCATTAACCAAAATGCTGGCTACGATAATTACCTTAATCGAAATGCAGGTTTTAATAATTATATTTATCACAACCCTGGTGGCGATAATCAAAGTTCCGTTGTCAATAATTTAACTCGTCAAAACAGTCACGATACTTTCGAAAATAACTACCCTGGTCAAATTTCCATCACTGATCAAAATAAGTTTGTCGGCTGCAACACTGTCATTCCAATGGGTACTTCTAGCAATAATGGTTTCATTGACCAAAAGAACTTTATTGTTCCAACTGGTGTTATCGCTAGTGATATTAATACAATTGGTAATCCGCATCAGAATTCATTTGGCGCAACTAGCATTATAAATAATAACAACAACGGCTTTGTTGACAAGTATCCAACTAATACAATTGGCAATGCTTGTCAGAATTCATTTAACCCAATTAGCATTATCAATTATGATATTATTGGTAACCAGAATATAACTAATGCCATGGGGATTAATTGTATGAATACTTTTTTTGACAATAATAATTATTATTTCAATCATCGTCATCAAAATTCCGTCGCAAATAATTTTGTTGATCAACATTTCAATAATATGACCAGAGATGAACAACTAAGTTACATCACTTTTCTACTTCAAAACATCAAGTCTAAATAATAAGTATTGATTGGTCTTAAAGGCTCTCCTCGTATTAATAATTTAGAATTTAGAATTTAGAATTTAGAAGCTAGAATTTAGAATTTAGAATTTAGAATTTAGAAGTTAGAATTTAAATTTTTTCTTTTGATTTAATGCTAATTATTTATCACTCGTAAACAACAACAACATCACCAACAATGATAACTATTTTTTATATTTTGACATTAAACAGTTTAACAAATGTAGATATTAATAGTAATTTGTTTGTTTTTAATTATTTATATTTTTGATAAAATAAAATAAAATTCAAATTCACGTATTTAACGTATTTATCTTGTTTCGCAGAGATAAGTTAATTATAAAAAATGGAATCTCACACCTCCCTATAATTAAAACCACAACGCATATCAACACACACATAAAAACATAGTAACTTTTATTCTAATATATATTGTTTATAACAAATAATAAGAGCTTTAATAAAAAAATGGATTTTGATAATAATAAAAAGAATAAAAAGACATATTTATATAAAATATAAAAAACTAAGCTTTAGGCAGAAAATTTATTGTTTAAAAGGGTTTTTTCGTAATAAAAACCCATATTCTATATTGTACTTATTTTCCAACCAAATACGGATTATTTAATCAATAAAATTCACTCAACTTGTTCGAAAATAATAGAGGCATAAATTACATCATTAACTAAAAATGACGATAAATTGGAAATCAAGTAAATTTTTTTTTTACATAAATCAATGTCAATTCACGCTATCGTAGCGGAGCGCAAGTAACTCGCTGCATCGGAAAGACAAGGAACATCATGCATTGTGAAAACGTTACAGCATCAGGCAAACAAGATATGTGGCTGCATGGAGGTTCCGGATTTGCATGCAGTTCCATATTATGCTGTAAGTTATACTTTTAGCAATTGTGGAAAAATGGAAAGGCCATATATGCGATTGCAAATTACCAAGGTGCGGTAACTTTGCTTCAAATATTCTTTACTTCAGCTCAAAATCCAGCTTTTGGTACCCATATTGTTGTCCAGATGACAAGGATTTCGTTTTAAACAATTTTTAGCTTGATATTAAGGAAGAATGGTTACAAATTTGCACCTATTGTGCTTTACCTTTGGGCGAATATAGCGGCAAGTACAATTTTATTGATGCATGACAACTTAGTTTTACGGCTGGTACTCACCTTGCGGGGGAATAGATTTGCATACGTAGTAAGCATACATATTATGTTAATTTATATTGATAATCATTTGATCAATTATGAAATAAATTTCTTGCTTATCTCATTCAACATCCAATTACATTGGATGCTAATCAATCTAAATCCTTGAACGACCCGTGTGGCTTGATGATGATTTAATTTTTCGGTCAGAGAAATGCAATTTATTACTATTATTATTTCTGAAATAATTCATTTATACCGAGTTTAGTAATATAAAGTTAGTTACAGTTCGTGTTAAACGTCTTGTAAATACTAAAGTAGACAAAACCAAGAGTGTTCGAGTTGTAAAAGTTCATTGAAAATTTCAATTTCAAATTACTTACAAGTTAAATTAGTCAACAATAAAGGCGTCGAAGAAAAAAGCAGAAGTCGAAGATTTAAGGTTTTCTATGTTTGTTATTCATAATTTTATTTATATAAACAAATTTTCTAACGTATAATCGTTGATGCCTTTTTACATCAATTACAATGCCAAAAATTCAAACTATTAAAAATAATAAATTAGCTAATTAATTAATGATTTTATTTATCATTTAAAAAATTAGTTTGTTGTTGTTGTTAGTTGTTGTTGTTGTTGTTGTTATCGTTATTGTTGTTGTTATTGTTATTTAATAGCTGATTGTAATCATTGGTGACAACCTAATTTTGATGATGGTTTAATTATTACGGTTATTTCTGGCAGAGTTTTGATGAGTAATCCTCATAGAATCAGTTGGAGCATGGTTGGAGAGGCCATTATTGTCAGGAATTCTGTTATTCTGACGAACGAAATCACTGCTGCTATAATATTGATGAATATCGACTTGATAAGTACCGTTATTACTGGCAGGGTACTGGCTAATCAAATGATTGTGAAGCAGGTTGTTATGAACGTGATTATTAGAGTCTTTATTATCAAAAATAAAACCATTAATCCAACCATCGTGATTATCATTCATTTTTTTTTTATTATAAATTTAATAATTTTTTATTTTTTTTAAAAATCGAATTTTTTCTCTTTATATATATAAAAATTTCACTATGGGAATTTTAATTCCAATTGTATTTTTTACACAAAAATGTAAATAAACAATTAATCAACCAATAGAAATTGCTATTTTCACACACGCCCCCTCACATTGCCCACAGATTAGTTATACACAAGGTAACGGTGCGGTGATAATATTGATTTTTTTCTAACCTTTTATAAATATGCTTTTGAATTATTAATTCAAATTAATAATTCATAAAAAAGATTTCTATTAACGGTATTCGCGTAATGATAATAAGTACGAGTGTTTTACACAAAACTAAAAAATGCTTGAAGATAGGAAAGTATATATTTTTATTGTTACTCGACGTCTAATAAAATCTAGTATTTGAGCGAATAAAATACAGACTCTGAACGAGAGTTTTTTGGTTTATCTACAGACGAATGCGTCAGGAATGTCGTCCCCCGATAGCCGATTTTTTTCTCGGGTGTTCTTCTAATACTAATTTATATCAAACTAGCACAAAAATTAAAAATTAAATTAAAAGTTACTAGAAACAATAAATAATGAAATTGGATCTCACGTTGTCGGTGTTGTTATTGAATTATTAATTAAAAATTGATTTGGGATATTAGGATATTTTGAAGATTGCTGTCATTTTGATCGACGAAATTGGGGATTGCCGACGATAGAATTTTTGGAAATAGTTATTTTCAAAAGAATTATTCATTCTCATTGTAATAGTTGAATTATGATCAACAAGACCATTTACTGTTATAATTGTGGTATATAGTTCAACCGATAACAATGCTCATAATATCCGTTAGAATTACATTGTTATCGTCGACAAAACGAGTTTGGTAAACGGAATTATTATGAACTGGTTTTGATGAGCATGATTAGGTATAGTCAACGTTTTGATTATTGTTTAGTTATTTGTTTTGCTTATTCGAATGAACAACAAAATTTCGATTATGTAATATCGTTATCAATATCAGAGTAAATATTATAATTTTGATTATGATTTTTTTGGATTATAATTATTGTGAATCCCATAAACAACAATTGATATTAGTTATTAAAAAATTATTAACATTGCATTGTGTAACAAAAATGGAAATTTTTATTAACAATACAATAAATGTAAAAATAAACATTATTTTAAATCACTTTTCAATCTTTGTCAATTTTATTATTTAAATTTTATTATTAAAGATGTTAAAAAGAGATGAGAGCCTATATAAATGAATAATACAACTAAAATTGTCAGTTTACTTTATTTTTTACCGATGAAGAATTTTAGGATTCCAAATATGGGTTTTTATTATTATGTTTAATGAAATATCTTATCTTGACAAACGTCAACAGCAGCAAATGACAGGAGAACAGAAAACAATAGATGATTAAAAATGACTTTCCAGGATTGTCCTTGTTATGACTATACTTTCGAAGGTACAAACTTACAATGGATAGATTACAATCAAACCAGATGACATTCATACATTTTTATACAGCAAAAACTGTTGCTCCCAGAGTAAAATTTTAAATTTGTCGACTTTGGGAAGCATGATTACCTTGAAGGCTTTTATCCAACAATTAAATTTACTCCAGAGACCAGCGACAAATATTAATCATATCTTGGTTATTGTTTTTTGGACTTTGAATGGGAATTCACTTACAAAAAAATAGAAAGTTGTAAAAAACAAACAGAGTCTAGCCCAAATAGAATAAAGAGAAGAAATCCTGTTTGCGACGATAAGAGCAAAATTTTGATTTTCTTTTATATTTGCTTCTTCTTCATTTTCTTCAAATGACAAGACCAAATAAATTATTTATAAATAGAAAAGAAAACTTGATGAAATGCCGGTAAAATCATTTTTTTTATTACATGGTCGTGATCAAAATGGTATTAATAGGTGATCTATCCAAGTATAATAGGGAGGAATTACTAGCAAAAAAAAAAAAAAATTAAGTATATAAACATTTTTTCCACTGATAACTACCATAACGGTTTAGAAAGCCTCGGGTTTAGTTTCAGATCCTTGAGTTTATTATTATTATCCAAATGAGAAAAATTCATTTCTGATCTTAAAGGACTTTTAAATGGAAAGAACATCAAATGAGCAGATGCGAGAACCTAGAAAGAGAATTAGTAATCTAGTGATTTGATTTGCTTTTATTCAAGTCAACTATTCACCATATAAGGCAGACCGCAAACAAAGTAACGTAAACTGTTAGTCAAGACAATTAAAAAAAAGAAAAGCATATTGTTCATGAATTGAAGAATTTTTTTATAGAGTGAACATCGTGTCGTCCGTACTTATCTTTTAAAAAACCCTATTCCAAAAGCTAAATTGTCAAGTAGAACTCGTGAAATTCTTGCTTGTTTAAATAAATTTGTCATAATATTCAAAAATTAATTATAGTTTGTCCTAAAAATTTTATTGCATAGAATACATCATCAAACAATTTGTTGGATTATAGCCCACCACTAGTTTTTCCTATACAGATAAAGAACTTGACATGTTTTTTTGGATATAAACAAGCACATCAATGTTATGAATGCGACTTGAATCATACCTAGTGTGTGTGAAAATAACGGCTTTTCACTCGCTGTAATTTTTTTTAATAATTACAAAATGATCGAGAATTTGAAGATTTACCCCATCCACGTACATACCTTGTATTTCACAGCTGTCCATACGCTCTCATCAAGTGTTTTAACTAATATCAGAAAATTATACATTATTTCTTTGGCATCTTTTTCATTTATTAATTTACCAAACACAACAACATCAACTTTCTTATATAAATCCTCTGACTTCGATTTGTTATGCCAAGGTTCTTTCATGATACCAGAGTCTTGACTTCTCCACTAGTAAAAGAAACATAAACTTCACTCCAAGTTTCTCATATTTCTACGTTCATATACGTATTGTGATGTATATAATTATATACGCTTCTACACAAAAGTATTCGGACATTTATTTAAAATTTTCTCAAGTTCATTCTACTGTATTGAAATCTGGGAATTAAGTGAATAAATTTTTAAAATGCACTCATCACTCATACTAATACTAAAGCCTAAGATACTGTGGCTATTCTAGATTTGCTAGTCATGTATATATATATATGAAAATTCGAGCTTTAAAGCCATACAGTTTTTATGTAGACTTTTAAGGAAATCCAAATTTTCGCAAACAACATCAATTTTTCAATTGAAGTTAGTGGGTTTTTTTTTCGCTAAAGTTCCGGAGGTGCTAAAATTATGAAATTTAATATGCCTGTTCGCCAAAACCTAAGCTACAGACTGGTATATGTTTCTTGTTTTAATTATTATGCGATTTTTCGATCAGTTAATTTTTAAATTGGTTCCGAACTTTTTTTTACATAAAGAGTGTATGTCTATTTTCAGATGTCCAAGTATCAAAAGATCTCTGTAATTGCAATTATCGAAAATATCTCGCTTATCGAATTTATAAATTGTATTAATAGATTCAAAGTTTTAAATAAACTTTTCTTCTCTTCATTTTCGTTTTCATTTTCATTTTTAGAAAGTTCACTTATTTTTCGAATAATGAAAGTAATAAACTCTTCTATTTTTTCGATCATAATTAAGCCATAAACGAAAAAAAAATAATTTATTCCTTTTTTTTAATGATTAAGAATACACTTTGTCTTAGGTTAAGAAGAATTATTATACAAAGGATAAATTTTACATTCTATTTTATTTATATATATATATAGCATCATTAGCAGATTACATAATATGCAATATCTATATTTATATTTATTTAAAAATGGGAAATTGAAAATAGGAAAATAATATTTATTTTTATTTTGCAACGATTAAAGAAATAAAAGAATTTATAATAACGCAAGAATATTAAAAAAAAAATCATATTTAGAAATTACCATTGTTAAATTTATTTTCTTACCAGTGTCCAGTTAATACCGCAAATGTTTGTAAAACATGCCATTTTTATCAAAAATTTACAAATATTTTGCTACTTGATTTTTTCACCTGTGTAAAAAATGACAAAACATACATAATGAAAGAATTAATTGATTGATTGATATATCATTATCAATGTTATTAATAGATTTTTTTAATTAACATTGATACTAACATATCAGTTATTGTTGTTATTGTTATTATTATTCAGCAATTGATTTACGACATTTTGGATATTTTGAAGTAGGAGTGTGATGTAAATTAACTGTTGATCTTTGGAACTATTTTGACCAACGAAGCCGCCGTTAACGGAATTCTGATAATTAGTGCTCGTAATATTACCCGAGTTCTGTTCAGCAATGAAATTATTTTGATGATTATAAATCATGTTTTGGCGAATGTAATTATTATTACCAGAGTTTTGATGAATGCCTTCGGGGTTTTGATGAACCATGTTTTGGTGAACGGAATTATTGTCACCGAAGTTTTGATATATTTCTCCAAGGTTTTGATGAATGGGATGATTATGAAACATGTTTTGATGAACGGAATTATTGTCATTGACGTTTTGATAAATGGTTCCAGTGTTTGTATTACTTGTAACTGGATTATTAGGGGCTTGATATTGATTAGTAATACTCAAATGAGGAATAACAGTATTTTGGTCATTGAAACTGTCATCCCAGTCATCGTTAACAATATCAATATCAATATTGTAGTTATTCATATTATCCATTTTTTGATTTTTATTATTATTATTTATTGTAATAATTTCTTATTTTTTAAAAAATTTTTTTTTTCGTTCGTTCGGTTCGAACAAATTTTTTGATCCTTTATTTATATCTTGTTTAAAATAATAAAACCAAGTATCAATTGACAATGCACTTTATTTAATTCATATACAGTATATAAAAAAATTTGATTTATCTTCTCAAAAAACTTCTCTATTCATTAAAATTTTACATCAAAAAGGATTAAATCATTTCATTATTGAATTGAACCGTTTTTATTACTATTTAATGTAATATTATTGTATAAGAATATTTCTTAACTCTTAATGAGAACGTTTTAGCTTAAATCATATGAAAAAAAATCCTTTGAATGCAGATCTTTTTTTTAGATGATCTATCCTAATTTGGAAAGAAAAAAAAAATATTAAATATATATTTCAAAGACAAAATAGTCTTCATAATTTGTAAAGAAAATTAGAAAATTCCTTACCATGTTTGGTCAAGAAGAATAAATGTTTCGAGTAGGGCTTACATGCTCGGCAACGTGTCCGCATCTAACAAAAAATTTGGGGTACAGGAACAGACATGGACATGGACACCGGTGTCTAATAAAAAAATCTAGGACACCGGTACTAGTGCTTGGCATGGTGTCCGACACATGTGTATTCACAGCATTTAACTACTTTATTCCAGTTAAGAAATACAATTTATTAATGTATTATTATTTGTTTCTGGTAGAGGACTAGATTTTTTGACTTTCTTTAAGCCATGTGCAAGCAATTTGAAATAGACTCGTCAGAATACATTGTTGTCAAATCTTGCATCAGAATATAAACACAATAGTAGCCTTATTTGGAAGTGCTATTTTATTTTAAAAATGGTTTATACTATAACACGTCAATATTAATACAAAAAAAATATTATTTACATTCCCTAATTAGAGAAGAAAAATTTCTCCTGAAAAAACCCCATCTTTTGCTGATTTTTTTAGTAAAGAAAAAAATGGTAGAAAAAAGAGTTCTATTAAATTTATTTACTAAAAATGTGTAAAAATTAATTTTTCGAATTTTTATTGCAAACCCCAACAAAAAAAATTTTGACATAATTTTATTAATAAAAAATAGGCAAATCCAAGTTCTATCGCCATAACTGCCAAATAAACCTTTATTAAAAAGTGATATGAGAGTAATTCATAACCTATTGAAACTAGGTGACGATTTTCTCGATTTTCTTTAATTACTAAAAAGTATTTACTATTGCTTGACTATAAAAATTACATTAAAATAAAATAAAATATTTAAATGGAAATGTAAAATCTAAGCTTCATATTGATAGAGTAAGTCTCAAGCTTTTGTTTAACTAAAAAAATGGGTGGATTAGTTGGATTTTGAAAATTGTTTACTAATAAATCTATATTATTTGGATCTCTGATTTGAAATCTGAATTTCACGCGTGAAATTCAAATTAGCCAAACACCCATAAATTTCAAATTGACACAAATTTGATTTTGACTTACAACAGATCTATATACAATAAAAATCTCTACATATTAATTTTTATATAAGACCATATATAATTTTGATCTACATAGTTGAACCGACCACCTCACTGGCACGTGCCTAAAATGTTGAGATGCAGGTACTGACATAAGCAGAAGCATTGATTCCTAATAAAAAATGACGGGCACTTAGTACTGGCACTAATGCCCAATAGTGCTTGGCGTGATGCAAAGGGTACCGGCATGAACACTTGTAAAACTCTAGTTTTGAGATCACGGTACGTGAGAAAAAATCGACCCTATGCAAATATCACAGACTTAAAATGTAATTATTATGCTGTTAACATATACTCAAGTATAATTATAAATTCATTTGATTTGATCGAAGGGAATAGATTCATAAATACATTATTATCCAAGGGTAATGATAAAAGAAATAAAAGTAATTTGTTTTCTGAAATAATTCATTTGTCACGAGCTTAGAAAAGTATAATACAGAAATAAATACATTAGCTCATAAGTTGAATATCCTGTGAACCTTAAAAGTAGATAACAATAAGGTATTCAAGTTTGTAAAAATTCATTAAAAACACTAATTTCAAATTACACCAAGGTTTTGTGTGTCAAAGTTGAATTAGTCGATTTATATGAACAATAAAGGTATCGAATAAAAAAATAAACGTCACAAATTCAACGCCTTCTAAGGTCGAATGGGTGCTTATTGTTTATAAGTTTTATTTATTTTACGTAAATAACTTTACTATTGAAATTAATTTGATCAAATACTTCGTTTATTGAATTACAATATCAAAAATAAAAAAAAAAGTTAAAACTAATAAATTAACCAATTAATATTAATATTATATTATTACTGTCCATTATTTTATGAAAATTATTTTATTATTATCAGTTGCTAGTCATTAACATTAACAAAGTATTAACTATGAGTCATTATTGTTAATTCTATTTAACAACTGGTTTATAACATTGAGCTCATTTAGAAGTTAAAATTTGATGCAGTCTAGTTGGTTTCTAGTCGAATTGCTGTAATTGTGGTCATTGGTGACGACAGAATTTTGATGACGATTGGAATAATTATTTTGGTCAACGAAATCAATGTTGACGGAGCCTTTATGAGTAGTCTTTATAGTATTAGTTGAGATCAATGTTGTTGTTGTTGTTGTTGTTGTTGTTGCTATGATTGTTGTTGTTGTTGTTGTTGTTGTTGACTATTATTATTATTATTATTATTATTATTATTATTATTATTATTATTATTATTATTATTGATAATACTAATTGAACTGACAATGCTGTTGATATTATTAACGAGATTATTTTGATAAACAAAATTACTGTTACTATAATATTGATGAATAGAATCATTATAGATCGTGTCTTGATGAGCGTCATCATTGTTGGCAGAGTTCTGGTTAAAAAAATTATTATGAAATAAGTTATTATTGTAATTAGGGTTTTGGTGAGTGAAATTATTTCCACCAGGATTTTGAAGAATTAAATTATTGACGACAGAGTTTTGAGTATCATCATTAAAATTAAAACCATTAATCCAACCATCGTGATTATTATTATTATACATTTTTTGTAAATTTTTTTTTATTATGGATTTATTAATGTGAAATTTTTTTTTTAGATATTTATTGATTGTATTTTTTTTTTTTTTTTAAACAAAATTTGTCTATTCGAAATCTACCTTTTTATGTATGCTAAATTTTTTTTATAAAATTTTTAATTTGCTCCGAATATATTGGTTTTTTTTTTGAATTTGAATCTGATATTTCCTTTTTAAAAATTAAAAAGTTTATAATTTTAAAGAAAACCTACATTAAAAATATATATTTTTATTTGAATTAAATTAAACTTTCAATTAGTTTTATTTTAATTTAATTATTATTAGTCCGAGAATATTAGTTCAACATTAAATTGCCTTATTTTAATTTTAATTGTTTGATCTCCGAAAATATTAATATTTTAATATTAACATTAATAAAAAAATTCCGAGAATTTTTATTTTATTAATTTTTATTTTATTTTTATTTTTGAATTAATTAATTTGACTTTTTTTTTTCTTTGAATTAATTATTTAATTATTTATTTTTTATTAATTTTTTTGATTTTTTTTTTTTTTTGAATTAATTAATTTAATTATTTATTTTTTATTAATTTTTTTGATTTGATTTTTTTTTTTTTTTTTTTTTTTTTTTTTTTTTTTTTTTTTTTTTTTTTTTTTTTTTTTTTTTTTTTTTTTTTTTTT